CTAGCCCAGAGCAATTCTCCCTACAGCCCAATACCAGAAATTACACCCTCACCTTCCAGACTCGCACCCAGGCTCTCCCAGAAAGTGAGAAAGGAACTCACAGGCGACTTCACCCCATGGTGGGGAGAACAACCTGTGCTGGGGCCAAGGCAGAAGGAGGATGAGCCCCAAGGCCCCTGGAGAGTCTGAGCCACAGTGAGGAAGGGGAGGGGGTGGTCCCTGATCTCAGAGTGGGGAGGAACCGGGGGGAGTGGGAGCCACAGCACATGGCTCTCAGCTGAGGGATCCTGGTCCCCTCACCATCTCTTCTCCTCCAGTCTAGGGACAGGAAGATGGTTGGCGACCTGACTGGGGCCCAGGCCTATGCCTCCACCGCCAAGTGCCTGAACATCTGGGCCCTGATTTTGGGCATCCTCATGACCATTCTGCTCATTGTCGTCCCAGTATTGATCTTCCAAGCCCATCAATAGGTCAGGAGACATCATTCAGGCCAGGAGCTCTGCCCATAACCTGTGTCCCACGTGCTCCACCTTCCATTCCTCGCCCTGCCCCCAGAGCCGAGTTCTGTATCAGCCCTTTATCCTCACACACTTTTCTACAATGGCATTCAATAAAGTGCACATGTTTCTGGTGCTGCTGTGACTTCACCTGGGGAGGAGTCCTGCTCTGGGTCCTGAGCGTGGATCTGAGACCTAGCAGTGTGGTCAGCCCCTGCACTGCCCCTTCTGGCCTCTGCAGCTCTTGGGGACCGGGCAAGTGCTCAGGCCTTCTGGTTTCCGGCCTCCTGCTGTGGGCAGCAGCTGGATCCAGGGCCCTGGGAGGAGTTCCTGTGTCCTGGAAGTCTCAGCTCCGACTCAAGGTAGGCTCTTTTCGGGAACGTCAGTGCTGAGTCAGGGACACCCTGGGCCCAAGGATACTCTCTTGGCCTGTGAGCAATCCAGGCTGTCGGCTGAGGACAGAGGGAAGGGCTTGAGCCCCCAGCAGGGCCAGGAAGGGGCAAGGTGGCACCGGCTCCCCAGCTGCTCCCAGGCCCTGCTCTGTGGTGCTGGGGGCCTGGCTTTAGTTCCTCGGGGTGGAGGGAGCACCGAGCTGTCTGGAGCAGCCAGTCCTGCACATGTGGGCGGCTCAGGCCCCGTGGGAGGGAGGGGGCTTTGTGCCCAGGGCAGCAGCTGAAGGAGCCCCGGGCCTCGTAGGCCCTCCTGGGTGACCCAGGTGCTGCTTCGTGGCAACTGCCGCCTCCAGTCCAGGGGGCATCGTCCCTGCTCCCCCGCGGTGGGGGCGGCACAGGAGCAGTGGAGCTGCCCTCATGCAAGTTCCCTCCACCCGGGTCTGGCCCCTGGACAGACTCCCCCGCCCCGACCTGGTTACAGCGCCCTTCCCCCGTTCGGTCTCCGGTGTGGGCGTCTGGGGTGCCCCGTGGGCGGCCGCGGGAGGAGCTGGGGTGGCCACGCGCGCCCGCCCCGCCGTCCGCCCCCGGCGCCAGGTCTGGATCTACTCCCCGTCCCCTCCCGTGCCCGCCCCAGACCCGGAGCCGCGCTCTCGGCCCAGGGGTCCAGGCGCCCTCTCCCCTCGGGGTCTCCCGGAGCTGAGTTCCGAAGGGGGCGAACTCCGAAGTGGGCCCGGGTGGGGGGCGCGGCCCCGCCGGGCGGGGAGGGAGAAGCGGCGGAGGCGGGAGCTCAGCGGCGCCCCTGGCGGCGGCCGGCGCAGGTGCAGGTCCCGGGGGAGGCTCCGCCCGCAGCCCGGACCCCGGGGGGTGCGCGGGACGCGGACCCGGAGACCCGCAGCGCCTGCCGAGCACGGGCGTCCCTCTCCTCCCCCTCGGGCACGTCCCCGGCCGAGCCTTCCGGCCCCGCTCTGGGGCTCCCACCTCCCCTTCACCCGCGGGGGGCCCGATTTCCGCGTCTCCGGGGCCCCTCCCTGGGCCGGGGCTCCAGCTGAATCCAGGAGGGACCTGTGGGAGGACTTGGTGGTCCGGGAATCACCCCGGGAGCCCGGTCCTGTGACCCCACAATGGGTTCTCTTTGCGCTCCGGGACAGAGCCCGTGGGTCGCATCGGGGCAGGGGACTTGCAATAAGGAAAGTGGAATTCGCGCAGAGCCGGCTGCAGGGGAGACCCGAGTTTTGTTATTACTCAAATCCGTCTCCCCCAAAACGTGGGGATCCGCGTTTGGAAGGATGATTTGGTGGGTAGGCGGCCAGTGAGTCAGGAGTGCTGACCGGGCCGGTTGGAGATGAAGCCTTGGGGAGTCCAAGCTGTCTTCCCAACCCTAACCCAGTTCCTGGGTAGGGGCCACAGGACCAGCGGAGCCAGACTGGGGGTCTGGGTGGTGGCAGCTGATCCACTGAGTGCGGGGTCTGTAAAGTATCTCAAACTCTGATCCTAGGTTCCACAGTCGTGCTGTGATCCTCGGGAGCAACTTGGGGGCTGGCGGGGTCAGAATCTTCCATCCTCCAGCTGCGTGACTCCTAAACCATCATTTCTAATCGTGCGGCGAATGTGTTAGTCCTGCAAAGGCAAACTAGTCCCCAGGCAGGAAGGGGGCTTGTTCAGCCTTCATCGATAAACGCTTCTCCCCAGATCAGTTTAGGCGAAGCCCAGGGATGAGCAAGGACAGCTTGGAGGTTAGGAGCCAGACGGAGTCGGTTAGGTCAGACCTCCTTCACTGTCGTGATGACTTTGGAAAGGGTGGTTTCATTTCCATGCCTGCCCCTCAGAATCCTGCCTCCCTCTTGTGCCCTGCAGTGTCTTCCTCCTTAAACTGCAAAACACCTTCCACAGGAAATTGAAGCCGCACCCCACTCTGCAGTCACGTGTGGCCTTTGATAGGAGGTCACGAAGCCTTGCAGGGAGTTTGTTTAGGCAGCCCTGGATGTCTCAGAGCAAGCTCCATCCGCATCCACCCCTGGCTTGCCGGTCTAAGTGGCCTGGGATGTGGTTGGGGCTGGCAGTGGCCTGTTGGGGATTGGGTGGAGGGTGGCGGGGTTGGTGTGCGATTTGGGGAGGCCCAGCAGTGACTCCAAGCAAGGGCGAGGGCGAGTTCTTTTTTTTTTTTTTTTTTGGCTGCAATGGGTAGGGAGGGGCTGATGGTTTTGGAGCTCAGTTTTTGAGATGGAAGTCTGCTAATGCTCCCGTCTGAATAAAGGCCAAATAAAGCACTTTCCTTCCGCTACTCGGTGTCTGAGGGTTTTGTCTGTGACTCGTCCTGCTACAATTTCTAACATTACCAGTAATTTTAAAGCTAGCTTATTAAAGATTTTACTTACCAGTAATTTTAAAGCTAGCTTATTAAAGATTTTACTTACGTCACATGAAGGTGAAAAGCATTTAGGCTTTTTATTTAATTTATGAGTACTCTTTAAGTTTAAGCTAAATTTGGTAACTTGTGGCCAAAAACATGTAACGAAACATGTGTATGCACACATAAACGCACATACACACTCAAGCAAAAGTATGGCTTTTACTTCAGAACTCCAGCCATGAGATAGTCATACAAATTCATTGGTTTACACAAACAATAAAAAGAAATGGTTGGATGCAAACAGTGAATTTTATCTCTGTGGAAAAGTAACAGCAGACTTAACGCAGGCAGAAAAGAAAGCAGAAAGAGAACTTAAGAACATTATATTAATAATTGTAGGTCCACATTTGGGCTTTGATTTTTCCTTTATGTAATTTGCAACTGTAATTCATGATCCTTATGCCTGAGGGCTCCCTCCTGCTACTCAGTTGACAATTCCATGTCCCTGTGAAGGGGCCCCCAGGCCTGACAACCCCAGACTTGGTTTTGTCAACCCTCCAGGTCTCTCCTGCATGGTTGCGGCCCAACGCCTAGCACCCACCCAACCAAAGCCATGGGAAATGCTGGGACCCAGGAGGTAGGGGTGGCACAAGTGTGCCCTGTGCTCCAAAGCTCCCCCCACAGGCCCTGCAATCCTCCCTGTGTCTCAACACAGCCCCCTCTTCAGACAGTGCTCCCCAGAGTCCCCGTTCCTGGGCCTGGAGCGCTGCTTTGGGGCAGGAAACTTTGGCCACCAGGCCTCTGACCTGGGAGGTTTAGCCCCCAAACCCGCACAGAGCAGGACTGCAGCCCCAGGAAAAGAGCAAGGATTTCAGGAGACGAGGCCTGTGACAAATGAGATGAGAGCTTTGGGGGGTTGTCCTGGCATCTGGAGTGTGAAGGCCCCAGTGGGGGCCTGGCAGGGGCCCTGAACTGGGACAGTGAGGTCCTGTACTTGCTGACCTGGGGTGGAGAGAACCCAAGCCTGGGTAAAATCCTCAGGGTCCCCTAAACGCAAGACTTAGGAAGTCACTAATCCTGACTTAAATTTCTGATGAGGAAGCTCCTCCCTTTTAACCTTCAGCCTTTCCTCCCACCCTGCCATAAAGTAATTTGATCCTCAAGAATTTATTCCACACCTCATTGGTCCCCGGCTAATTCACCAATTTATAAACAACAGGAAATAGAAACTTAAGAGAAATACACACTTCTGAGAAACTGAAACAACAGGGGAAAGCAGGGCTCACTGCATCCGGACACCACAGCTCCACTTCCCTCCACGCTGAAAGCCACACTTCTCGAACCTTCACTCAACACTTCTTTCTCCAAAGTCAGAAAATGCACAAGGAGGAGCACGAGGTGTCTGTGCTGGGGGCACCCCATAGCACCATCCTCCCAAGGTCCACCATGATCAACATCCAAAGCGAGACCTCCGTGCCCGACCATGTCGTCTGGTCCCTGTTCAACACCATCTTCTTCAACTGGTGCTGCCTGGGCTTCATAGCGTTCGCCTACTCCGTGAAGGTGCGTGTGGCCCCAGGGGATGCTTAGAGGGTGTCAGTGAGCCTGGGGCTCCACCTGCCCAGATGCTGCCTGGGGTGGGGACTTGTGTGTCCCTGTGAGTGTGAGTTTGTGTGCACCTCTGTCCCGTGTGTTGAGCCTGGGGCTCCACCCTGCCCAGAGTTGCCTGGGGTGGGGACTAGCTGGGTGTGCAGAGTTTGTGTGTGCACCTCTGTCCCGTGTGTGCCCACGCCAGTAGCTTTTGTCTGTGTGATCTGTGTGTGTGGAGCTTGGGAATCCTCCCAGTCTAGGGAGGAGGCTCCGGGTGGAGGCTGGCTGGCTCAGCTTTGTCCCTGGCTGTCCACTAGCCCAGAGCAATTCTCCCTACAGCCCAATACTGTAATTACACCTCACCTTCCAGAGACCTCCTGACCCAGGCCTCCCAGAAAGTGAGAAGGGAACTCACAGGTGACTTCACCCGTGGTGGGGGAGAACAGCCTGTGCTGGCGCCAAGGCAGAAGGAGGATGAGCCCTGAGGCCCCTGGGAGTATTCGGAGCGTAGTCTGAGCCAGAGTGAGGAAGGGGAGGGGGTGGTCCCTGATCTCAGGGCAGGAAAGAGCCAGGGGGAAGCTGGAGCCATAGCATGTGGCTCTCAGAGCCCTCAGCTGTATCCTCTCCCCCAGTCTAGGGACAGGAAGATGGTTGGCGATGTGACCGGGGCCCAGGCCTATGCCTCCACCGCCAAGTGCCTGAACATCTCGGCCCTGATTGTGGGCATCCTCATGACCATCGGATTCATCCTGTTACTGGTGTTTGGCTCTGTGGCAATCTACCATGTTATGTTACAGATCGTACAGGAAAAACAGCGTTACTAGTAGCTGCCCATAGCCCGCGACCCTTGTACTCCACTTTGCAATGCTGGCCCTCACGCTGGGGCTGTTGTCCCTGTCCCCTTGGTCCTCCCCCTAGATACAGCATTTTATCCCCACACACCTGTCCACAATGACATTCAATAAAGTGCACGTGCTTGTGATGATGCTGTGACTTCACCTGGAGTGGGGACCCTGCTGCACGGTCCCAGCCTAGTCCTGAGACAGCCCAGTGTTAGCCCCTGCACAGTCGCATCCCTCCTCTGTGAAGCTCTGGTGGGGAGCAGGGATGTGCTCAGAATTTGCTGGTTTCGGCCTTCTGCCGTGGGCAGTAGCCGGACCAGGACTGTGGGGTGGGTGTTTCTCTGGCGCCAGAATACCTTTGGGCCAGGACAACCCTGCCTGCCTCTGAGTTGGCTGGAGCAGCTCTTCTTGCAGATGTGTGCAGCTTAGACCCTGTGGGAGGGGCAGGGGCTTGGTGTGCGGCTTGTGCCCTGTGGGAGGGGCAGAGTAGCAGCTGAAGGAGCCTCAGGGCTGCAGCCCCTCCTGGGTGATCCAGGTGTGCTGGGTCCTGGCACCTGCCTCCTCCAGTCCAGCCGGGGTCTTTCCTGCTCCCCTGGGGTGGGGGCAGCCAGTGGCCCGAGGGTGGCGCGAAGCCCCCACTGTGGGCTGACTGCGGAAGCCAGTCGGACTCAGTGACTTCTCCACCAAGTCGGACGGAAACTCTGAAGTCTGAACCCAAAACTGGCTGGGCCTCCTGGGTAGAGGAGTTCCTGGGGCCAAAGCAGGGCCTCGCTGGGGCGGCGGGGGTCCTCCCACAGGTGACTTGCCCCTCGGGGGATTCTGGCTCTCAGCCTGCCAGCAGTGGGACCGCGATGACAAGCCCCGCCTGCCTTCTGCCTCAGCCGGCGGTACTGCAGGGCTCTCCCGGGACCTAGCTGGGGACCGACCGCCCTAACTGTCCCCCACTTCCCCTGCCGCTCACCTGCGGCGCCCTGACTGTGGGGGTCCCCGGGAGGGGGCCATGGACGCGCATCAGGGCGCGCCCTCTCGCCCAGGGTTCCACTTTTGCCAGCGTGACCAGGGAGCGAGGCCGGCTCGGAGGTCCTGGGCATTGAGGGGACGGCCCGGTGCCGCCGGATCAGGGAAAGGCGCTCGCCCCGAGGCAGGGAGGCCGGCGGGAGCAGCAGCCGGGCCCGCGGGGGCGGCGGAGCCAGGTGCCCAGGCCCAGGTGCGGGGTGCGCGGGTGCGGGGACTTCCCCCAGGCGGGCAGCGCTCGCGAGGGCCCGGGAGGGCAGCTTCGACCAGGAGCCCCGCGGGAGCTCGGGAAGAGGGTCCTGCCGGGGGAGACCCCTCTGGTGCACCCAGCGAGGGCCCCGGGATCCTGCAGTCTTGAAATGTGACGGGAAGTCTGAGGCATCACGAAGGCGGAGACGCAGCGCGCGTCGTGGGTCCTGGGTGCCGAACGCCAGCTCGCCACGGCCCCGCAGCGCGGCCAGATCCCGGTCCCCACGGGCGTGGGGTGTGCGCGGACCGCGGGGAGGTGAAAGCCCGAGCCGAGAAGTTTCCCAAACAGCACTCGCGGGAGCGGAGCTGGTCGGCCCGGCCGCTCCCCGCCGCGGACTCGGGTCCCCGTGGACAGCATCGCCCGCCAGGCCCCAGCGGCGTTGGGCCTCTCCTCCTCTGCAGGGGAGACTCGGGCCGCCGGCTCCGGAGAAGGGCAAGACCAGGCGCGGCGCAGGTGCTCTCGGTCGGGAGGAGGCGGCCACACGGGGCGCGTCCACAGCGGGAGAAACCCTCCTGGGGGACACGGGGCGGACGCCGAGCCCAGGCGGCAGGCGCCGGAGGACACACCTGCCCCACACGGGATGCCGTGGGACCGGCCAGGCTGACCGCGGCGTGGACAGGTTTGCCTCCCAGAGGGCGGAGATCGAGAGGGGAAGCGACCGGCGGACTCTGGGTGCGGCGGGCATCCATTTGCAATCGCTGGAGGGGCCTTCCTGCCCGCGAGGGCGTTGCAGTAAAGAAAGGGTTTGGGAGGCGGGGGCTGCCGTGAGCCGAGATCGCGCCACCGCACCCTACCCTAGCCTGGGCGGCAGAGTACTCTGCGGGGAAAAAAAAAAAAGATTTAATAGACCCTTTCTGTCCTCTTGAGCTGAGTCGCTCCTCCCAGGTGGGACCACAGGAGCTGTCAGGTCCAGGGGGAGCCATGGGTGTCAGGCACGCAAAAAAAGAGGGGGGGAAATCTCAAAAGGCCAATCTTAAGCTCTAAATTACGACGACGAAAAGAGTCGAACTCTGTGAAATAGTTTAAGAGATTTATTCTGAGCTAAATATGGCTCCTGATGCCGCCCTCAGGAAATCCTGAGAACATAGGCCCAAGGTGGTCGGGGCCCAGCTTGGTTTTATACATTTTATGGAGACATGAGGCATCAATCAAATACATTTAAGAAATACATTGAAAAAAAAAATAAATACATTGGTTTGGTCCAGAAAGGCAGGACAACACAAAGCTGGGGTGTTGTGTGTGTGGGGGGGAGGGGGCGGCGGCAGTGCTCCAGCCTGCAGGTGAATTTAATCCTCTCGTTGATGATTGAGTCACTGAGTTTGTCTAAAGACCTGGGATTGGTAGAAAGGGGGTGTACAGGTTAAAATAAAGATTGTGGAGACCGAAGTTCTTTTGAAGTTTTATAGTGGCTGTCCTTAGGAGACAATAGATGGCAAATGTTCCCTATTCAGATCTTTAAAAGGTGCTCAACTGTTAATCTCCTCAGGACTGGGAGGGTCTGGAAGAAAAAGATTTAGCTATGTTAATAGAGATTCTCTTTTTTTTTTTTTTTTTTTTGGGGGGGGGGGTCTCTGTGTTGCCCCCGCGGGGGGGGGGTGGCAGGATCTCAGCTCACTGCAAGCTCCGCCTCCTGGGTTCACGCCATTCTCCTGCCTCAGCCTCCCTAGTAGCTGGGACTACAGGCGCCCACCACCTCGCACGGCTAGTTTTCTGTATTTTTTAGTAGAGACAGGGTTTCACCATGTTAGCCAGGATGGTCTCGATCTGCTGACCTCGTGATCCGCCTGTCTCGGCCTCCCAGAGTGCTGGGATTACAGGCTTGAGCCACCGTGCCCGGCCAATAGAGTTTTTTTTTTTTTTTTTTTTTTTTTTGAGACGGAGTCTCGCTCTGTCGCCCAGGCTGGAGGGCAGTGGCGCGATCTCGGCTCACTGCAAGCTCCGCCTCCCGGGTTCACACCATTCTCCTGCCTCAGCCTCCTGAGTAGCTGGGACTACAGGCGCCCGCCACCGCGCCCGGCTAATTTTTTGTATTTTTAGTAGAGACGGGGTTTCACCGTGGTCTCGATCTCCTGACCTTGTGATCCACCCGCCTCGGCCTCCCAAAGTGCTGGGATTACAGGCATGAGCCACCGCGCCCAGCTGAGATTCTTTACAGATGCAAATTTCCCCCCACAAAGAACAGCTTTGCAGGGCCATTTCAAAATATGGCAAAGAAACATGTTTTGGGGTGAAATGTTTTTTTATTTTCTTCCTTGTATCGTAACGTTATGCCAGGGTCAGGTTGGAAAGTAAGTCATGATATACATAGTAAAATAAAACCCATCTGATGAGAATTTATGGTTTGTAGGGCATGGCTTCCCAAGCCCCTTAGATAGGAATTTGGGCAAGATAAAAAATCAGAGTTTAGTCCCCAATCATGACGAGCCGCTGAGTTTTGGACAAGGCCTATTGTCATTGAAACAATAGCCTATATGTCTCTCAAAGTCAGTTTGGCCCCAAAAACCATGAATAATTAAGGGAAAGTCAAGATGGGGGGTGGGTTAGCTCAGTTCACAGTTTCAATAATTCTTCTCACTGATACTGTTACAGTAGGTAGCTCCTGGGGCTTCACCAGGACAGGAGAGCGCTTCCCACCCCTAACCAGGAATATCAGGCGACCCCTCAGGTGATGGTCAGATGGTTGTTACACCGTTTCTCTAAAATAAAAATTGGTAGCGACCAGCGCCAAGGAAAGGCAGTCTCCCAGTAGATAGAAAAAACCCGAAACGTGGTCAGCAGTTTCCCAGTAAGACCTCAGGGGTTGGGTGAGTGGGCTCCAGCACGCGCATGAGGAGGTCAAATGGCTGCTTTAACTGGCGCATGACCTCCCACGAGCTTTCGGCTGGTAGGAGAAGAAGGCCTCAAGTGAGCATGCGCAGAGCTCCAGCAAACACCCTCCATGCAGCCACGCCCAAGTGCTGGCAGACCACCGTGTTTGCAGATAGCCCGCGCCAAGAGAAGAATGCGGACAAGGGGCGGAAGACGCAGAAGCCACCACATAAAACCCACGTCGAAGATCCACCTGCTTACTTCATGTCTCAAGTTGCCCACTTGGCCCTCTTCCCAGTGTAGCTCCTTCCTTCCACTCCTGCTGTCTTCCTTGGTCTCTCCTTCTGCCTTATGCCCCTCAGTCGAATTCTTTCTTCTGAGGGGGCAAGAACTGAGGTTGCTGCAGAGTCACATGGATTTGCCACCACTTACATTTTCATGCCCTGTGACTCAGATACATTCCGCTGCTAACAACATAATTTTTCACAAGGAGGTTTACATTTTCAAAACTGGACAGATGGGATTTGCCCCTATTAACGTAAGTTTTACCTAAAAATCTAAAAGACGATGAGCTATCATCTAATCTCAGATGGGGGCATAGATGAGAAAGTGGCAGAAGGTGAGCATTGTGGATGCTGGTAATGGGTACGGAGGGGTTATTGATTTTAGTCTCCGTTTATTATTTTCCCCAAAATACAGGTACACAAACACCTAAAAATAGATGAGCTCCAAAGAAGGTGCTATGGTTACACTTTGTGTTCCCACCCAAATCTCATCTTCACTTATAGTCCTCGTTATGCTCATAACCCCCATGTGTCACCCGAGAGACGAGGTGGAGGGAGCTGGGTCATGGGGTGGTTCCCCATGCTGTTCTCCTCAGAGTGAGTTTTCTACAGATCTGATGGTTTTAAGAGCGTTGGGTAGGTCATCCTTCATTCATTCTCCTTCCAGCCGCATTGTGGAAAAGGTGCCTTGTTTCCCCTTCAACTTCTACCATGATTGTAAGTTTCCTGACACCTACCCAGCCGTGTGAATCAATTAAATCTCTTTAATGTATGAATTACCCAATCTCAAGCAGTTCTTTATACTAGTGTGAAAACAAACGAATATGAAGGTTAAACTCCCATCTTAGGCAGATCTACTCAGCCATTCAGGGCTGCTAGAGAGTACCTTGGGCAGACACATGGCCGGCTATCTGGCCTGATCATCTGGAATCTGCATCCAGGTCTCCGGAGCCCTGAGCCTGCAGAAGCATCGACACTTCCTATGAAGAGCTAGCCATCGCCCTTGCTGGGAGTCACAGCTAGGCCTCCCCAAATCGCACACCAACCCCGCCACCCTCCACCCAATCCCCAACAGGCCACTGCCAGCCCCAACCACATCCCAGGCCACTTAGACCAAACTGTGGCTGGGTCCCGGCAAGCCAGGGGTGGATGTGGATGGAGCCTGCTCTGAGACATCGAGGACTGCCTAAACAAACTCCCTGCAAGGCTTTGTGACCTCCTATCAAAGGCCACACGTGACTGCGGAGTGGGGTGTGAAGGGTGGCCTGCCCCTCCACACCTGTGGGCGTTTCTCGTTAGGTGGAACGAGAGACCTGAGAAAAGAAATGAGACACAGAGACAAAGTATAGAGAAAGAAAAAGTGGGCCCAGGGGACCAGCGCTCAGGACCCACGCCGGTACCGGTCTCTGAGTTCCTTAGTATTTATTGATAATTATCTTTACCATCTTAAAGAAAAGGAAGTGGCAGGATAATAGGATCATTGTAGGGAGAAAGTCAGCAGTAAGACATATGAATAAAGTTCTCTGTGACATGAATAAGTTTAAAGGGAAAATGCTGTGCCTTGATATGCATATGCAAACATCTCCATAAACCGTTTAGCAGCATTGCGCCTGCAAGTCCCACCTTTTGCCATAAGGTGGTTTTCTCCTGTCTCAGTAAACAGAGCACACAATCGGGTTTTACACCGAGATGTTCCATTGCCCAGGGATGCTCTTCTCTATCTCAACCGCCAACAACCGCCAAGAGGCCTTCTTTCCTCTTGTACTGGTCCTCCTCAGCACAGACCCTTCACGGGTGTCAGGCTGGGGGACGATCAGGTCTTTCCCTTCCCTCGAGACCATAGTTCAGACTATCACATGTGGAGAAACCTTGGACAATACCTAGCTTTCCTAGGCAGAGGTGCCTGCGACCTTTGGCAGTGTGCCTATCCCTGGGAACTTGAGATTAAGAGAATGGTGATGACTTTTAACCAGCAAGCTGCCTTCAGGCACTTGTTTAACAAAGCACACCCTGCACAGCCCAAAATCCTTTAAACCCTGAATCACCACAGCACCTGTCTCTTGCAAGGACAAGGTTGGGGGTAGGGTCACAGATTAACAGCATCTCAAATACAGAACAAAATGGAGTCTCTTATATCTACTTCTTTCTATATAGACACAGTAACAGTCTGATCTTTCTTTTCCCCACAGGGTGCGGCTTCAATTTCCTGTGGAAGGTGTTTTGCGGTTTAAGGAGGAAGACACTGCAGGGCACAAGAGGGAGGCAGGATTCTGAGGGGCGAGCATGGAAATGAAACCACCTTTCAAAGTCATCACGACAGTGAAAAGGAGAGGTCTGACCTAACCGACTCCGTCTGGCTCCTAACCTCCAAGCTGTCCTTGCTCATCCTGGGCTCGCCTAAACTGATCTGGGGGAGAAGCGTTGCTCGATGAAGGCTGAACAAGCCCCCTTCCTGCTGCCTGGGGACTGGTTTGCCTTTGCAGGACTAACACATTCGCCGCACGATTAGAAATGATGGTTTAGGAGTCACGCAGCTGGAGGATGGAAGATTCTGACCCGCCAGCCCCAAGTTGCTCCCACATCCTGTACGACTGTGGAACCTAGGATCAGAGTTTGAGATGCTGCAGACCCCGCACTCCAGTGGATCAGCTGCCACCACCCAGACCCCAGTCTGGCTCCGGCTAGTCCTGTGGCCCCTACCCAGGAGTGGGTTAGGGTTAGGAAGACAGCTTGGACTCCCCAAGGCTTCATCTCCCAACCGGCCCGGTCCAGCACTCCTGACTCACTGGCACGCCTACCCACCAAATCATCCTTCCAAACGCGGATCCCACGTTTTGGAGACAGTTTGAGTAATAGCAAACTCAGGTCTCCCACCTACCCAGCCGGCTCCCTGCCTTAGAATTCCACTTTCATGTTGCAAGTCCCCTGCCCCGATGCGACCCACGGGCTCTGTCGGAGCGCAAAAGAAAGAACCCATGGGGTCACAGGACCGGGCTCGGGATTCCCGGACCACCAAGTCCTCCCACAGGTCCCTCCTGGATTCAGCTGGAGCCGGCCCAGGAGGAGCCCCGGAAATTAAAATCCAGGCCCCACGGGTGAAGGAGGTGGGAGCCCAGAGCGGGGCGGAAGGCTCTCGGCCAGGGAACGTGCCCGAGGGGAGAGGGACGCCCGTGCTCGGCAGGCGCTGCGGGTCTCCGGGTCCGCGTCCCGCGCACCCCCAGGGTCGAGCTGCGGGCGGAGCCTCCCCGGGACACCTACACCTGCGCCGGCCGCCGCCAGGGCCATGAGCTCCCGCCTCCGCCGCTTCTCCCTCCCGCCCGGCGGGCCGCGCCACCCGGGCCCGCTTCGGAGTTCGCCCCCTTCGGAACTCGGCTCCGGGGAGACCCCGAGGGAGAGGCGCCTGGACCCCTGGGCCAGGCGCAGCTCCGGGTCTGGGGCAGGCACGGGTGGGCACGGGGAGTGACCTGGCGCCGGGGAGCCCCAAGACGGCGGGGCAGGCGCGCGTAGCACCCCAGCTCCTCCCGCGGCCGCCCACGGGGCACCCAGACGCCCACACCGGAGATGACGGGAAGGGCGCGGCGCTATGTGAACCAGGTCGGGGCGGGAGTGTCAGGGGCCAGACCGGGTGGAGGAACTTGCATGAGAGGCAGCTCCACTGCTCCTGTGCCGCCCCGCGGGGAGCAGGGACGATACCCCCTGGACTGGAGGCGGCAGTTGCCTGGCGAGAAGCAGCACCTGGGTCACAGGAGGCCTACGAGGCCCGGGGCTCCTTCAGCTGCTGCCTGAGCACAAACCCCCTCCCTCACGGGGCCTGAGCCGCCCACATGGCTGAGACTGGCTGCTCACGGGCAGCAGCTCGGTGCTCCCTCCACCCCCCGAGGGCAAGAGGAAGCCAGGCCCCCAGCACCACAGAGCGGGGCCTGCAAGTGGCGGTGATGCCACCTTGCCTTCCTGGCCCTGCTGGGCTGGCCTTCCCTCTGTCCTCAGCCGACAGCCTGGATTGCTGCAGGCCAAGAATCCTTGGGCCCAGGGTGTCCCTGACTCAGCACTGACGTTCCCGAAAAGAGCCTACCTTGAGTCGGAGCTGAGACTTCCAGGTTCCTAGGAACCTCCCAGGGCCTGGATCAGCACACTGCCACAGCAGGAGGCCCGGAAACCAGAAGGCCTGAGCACGCCCGGTCCCCAAGAGCTGCAGAGGCCAGAAGGGGCAGTGCAGGGGCTGAGCACACCACTCATGAGAGAAAGGGAGGGCCAGCTGGGCGTCCTGGGTCAGTAGGGCTCAGAAGCTGTGAAACCCCCATCTCCTCGTCGGCTCTTCCTTGGGTCCTAGATTGAATGATAGTATTGAAGATATATGCACAAAAGTATTCCTAACACCAGGATTTGTTTGTGTTTTCTTCCCCAAGAAAGCTATAAACATCGAAAATTCTCTTTGTAAGCTTCCCTGTGTCCTCTCCCTCTTCCTTCCCTCCCTAAAACTAAAAAGAATGTTAAAAACCCTTTTTCTGTGACCAGCAGACCTTATCCTATGCTCCCAATTCCAATTCCTTGTGAACATACTTTGTAAAGTCCTGTGAGATCCTGTCTCCTTTGCTGGCATACGCTGCAAGGTCATAAAATATTAGATAAAATTAGATAGCACAAGTTGCAATTCCCATTTTCCTCAAAATCTAAGACACATCTGAAAATTTACTGCCTTTGTTTCTTGCTCTGGTAATATCTTCCCGCCGCATGTGTTTCCCTCCTTAAAGAGTTTAAGAGGCAATCACCCAAAACCAGCAGTGGCTACCCTCCAGGGATCGCACCCACACCGTGGAATCTTTGTGATTCTGCTCAATAAAGCCTACAGTTTCTTTTTCTCTTGGTCCGTGTGTCTCCATCACTTATGCGCGGGCAGCCGACACCAATTCTTTGGTGGCGTGGCTAAGGCAAGAGCCTTCCAGCGTCATTTAATCTTCGTAGCAGGACCCCTCCCCAGGTGAAGTCGCAGCAGCACAGAGAAACATGTGCGCTTTATTGAATGCTGTTGTAGAAAAGTGTGTGAGGATAAAGGACGGCCCAGGACTCAGCTCACAGAGGGGCAGGACCAGGAATGGAAGCCGTGGGACACAGGAGTTATGGGGCAGAGCTCCTGGCCTGAATGATGTCTCCTGACCTATTGATGGGCTTGGAAGATCAATACTGGGACGACAATGAGCAGAATGGTCGCGAGGGATGCCCAAAATCAGTGTTTCAAGGCACTTTGGCGGTGGAGAGGCTTTAGGCCTGGCCCAGTCGGGTCGCCAACCACTCTTCCTGTCCCTAGACTGGAGGAGGAGAAGGGGTGGGGGACCAGGATCCCTCAGCCTTTGAGAGCCATGTGCTGTGTGGCTCACTCCCCAGGTTCCTCCCCACTCTGAGATCGGGGACCACCCCCTCTCCCTTCCTCACTCTGGCTCAGACTCTCCAGGAGGCCTCAGGGCTCATTCTCCTTCTGCCTGGGCCCCAGCACAGGCTGTTCTCCACCACGGGGTGGGGAGTCGCCTGTGAGTTCCCTTCTCTCACTTTCTGGGAGGCCTGGGTTTGCAAAGGAGTCTGGAAGGTGAGGGGGTGTTCTGGTATTGGGCTGTAGGGAGAATTGCTCTGGGCTGAGTGGATCGCTGGGGGACTCTGAGCCAGCCAGCCTCCTGGAGCCTCCTCCTAGACCTGCACTGGGCGGATTCCCCAGAAGCACACACACAGATCACATAGACAAAGCTACTGAAAGCGTGGGCACACACGGGACAGAGGTGCACACAAACTCACACTCACAGGGACACACGGAGTCCCACCCAGGCAGCTAGACAAAGCTACTGACGTGGGCACACACGGGACAGAGGTGCACACAAACTCACACTCACAGGGACACACGAGTCCCCACCCCAGGCAGCTTCTGGGCAGGTGGAGCTCCAGGCTCACTGACCCTCTGAGCGTTCCCTGGGGCCACACGCACCTTCACGGAGTAGGCGAACGCTATGAAGCCCAGGCAGCAGGGGTTCATGAAGAGGGTGTTGAACAGGGACCAGACGACATGGTCGGGCACGGAGGTCTCGCTGCGGATGTGGATCACGGTGGACGTCGGGGGAGCAAGGTTGTGGGGTGCCCCCAGCACAGCCACCTCGTGCTCTTCCTTGAGCATCTCATAGCTGGGGGGCTGGCCGCTGTTGACAGGAGAGAAGACAGTTTGGACCGTGTGGTTCATGGTGTCCTGCGAAGGCCAGTGGTGGTCGGGTTAGCGGGATGGTTCTCAGTGGGCCCTCCCTTTCCCCAGTAGTTTCGATTTCTCAGCAGTTTCCTCTTCCTGGCATTTGCAAATGCAGAGTTGGCCGGGGCCAGATGAGGGCGGAACAAATTCCTGAGGATCAAATTACTTTAGGACTGGGAGGAAGGAGGGGCTGAGGGCTGAGGGGCTTCCTCTCTAGAGCCCAAGTGAGCACATTTCTCATCTTGTTAGGGGTGTGGGGGTCCTGGAGACTTCCCCTACGTTGGGAGTCTCCACACCCCAGGCCAGCAGCTGCAGGACCTCACTGTCCCGGTTCAGGGCTCCTGCCAGGTCTGTGCTGGTGCCTCCACACGCCAGGTCCCACAGCAGTTCCCTCAAAGCCTTCGCCTCACTTGTCGCAGGCCTCATCTGCTGAAATGCCTTGTCCTTTCCTGGGGCTGCAGTCCTGCTCCGTGCGGGTGTGGGGGCTAAAGGTCCCCGTGTCTCCTGGTGCAGGTCAGAGGCCTGGCGGCCAACGCTGCCTGTCCCAAAGGAGCCCTCCAGGCCCAGGAACGGGGACTCTGGGGAGCACTGACGGAAGAGCGGGCTGTGGGATGCCAGTGGCAGAGGCCTGGACGGTGGAGTTAGGAGCCATGGCCCTTTACCCTGGAGGCCCACCTGGGTGAAGCCTCCCAGAGCCGCTCCACATGGCCCAGTGGCACCCACGCTGCCCAGAGCTCTGGGTGTCTGGTCCCTGGGGCACCCTCCAGATCTCCAGGTTCTGATCATCTCTGCCTCTTCCCTGGGTCCTCACACGGGTGCCAGCTGCTTCCTGCAGTTGCCGCCTGTTTTTCCCATGAACCGGTTTGTGCCTCTGAGCAGCTCCTGAGGTTACGTCCTCCCTGTGGAAACACCTTGTGTGGCCTCTGGGTTTCTTCCTGGACCCTCCTTGGCAGAGGCTACTGCGGCAAACTGAGCCGATGCTGTGCACTTGGCTGGTCAGAGGGGCCAGTGTGGGCAGGGCTGGCAGGGGAGGGGTCACAGGGGCGGGAACGTGGCCTGTAGGCCTGTGTGCAGCG